AAAAGGGAATGGTTGAGTGAGCTTTCATTTAACAAGGGGCTGAAGATGCCAATCTACCTTGGTAAACTGTATGGATACGGCTGACCAGAGTAGCTTTCATGAGAATAGGTTGTTTGGAAAAATTTGGCAAAAAGATCGGCAATTGCCTGATCATTGTTTGCTGACATATTGAGAAAAGATAACGACGATGGATGTGCGGACGTTCTACGCTTACTATTTACGAAGCTGTAAAACTGTTTAGGGTCCTGTGAAAATCGTATCCTGCATCGAGATAGGTAGTTTTTATAGCATTGAGCGTTAAGAACGGAGAAATTTGACGGAGCTATTACATAGTGAGAAGGAGAAGAGGGAGAACCAACTTCTCGAAATTTTTTATAAAGTCTTGATTTTAAATTTTTTTGACTGGATAACTCTTTGGTAAACCAAGGAGGCTTTCCAGATCTAACCGGACAAGAAAGTGGGACACAAGAATCAAAAAATGTGTCAAGTACATTGTAAAAAATGTTTGTGCCTTTCATAACGTCAGTGCATAAGGTTGCATAAGTGCATAAGTGCATAATAAGGTTATTTAGCTTCGTAAACTCGGCTTTACGAAAGCAGCGGGCACGTTCAGATAGCCTATCCATTCGATCCAATACAGTAGAGCCAATGTCGACTGACACTTCGAATGTAGGATGGTAGGAGTCTTCAGGTATACTGAGCGGAAGGGCTACGGTAACGCTATGGTCGGATCCGAGACAAAGCACAGATCAAGCAATCGACCCAAGGAATTTTTCACATGGTTGACTTGAGACAGGGATAGGTCTTGCAAGCCGTCGATAAAGTCATGTCGTGACATGGGCACAAGGTTATTAGACTCGTTTACCGAAGACCAAACAGTACCTGGCAAATTTAAATCACCAAGAACTATCATATGGTCTTTATCTGATAGCAAGGAAGAAACAGTTTTTAAAGCGGACAGGTGATGCTCGTATATTAAGATATCCGAGGAAGGTGGAATATACGAGCAAGTAATGACAATCGAAAAGCCTGGGAGAATCAGTTTTACGCACAGGAATTCCAGGTCTTGTTGAACCTGGGCCATGAAATGTTCCGACGTGAAGTTTGACTCCACTACAATAAGGACGCCACCTCCACGTCGAGACGAACGGTCATTTCTAAAAATTGTGTACCGAGCTGCCAAAACTTCGGAACTAAGGATGTCCGGCTTTAAACAGGGTTCGGTGAACACAATAACGTGGGATGAGAATGCGAGACTCTCAAGGAAAAGAGTGCTGAGCTTACTACGCAAGCCTCTAGCATTCTGGTAGGTAACTACAAGAGAGGAAGTTAGTTTTTTGTATGGGTGGAAGTAGAGGTGGAAGATGAGGATGGAGATGGAGCACTGGTCTGAATGCTAGGAAGAGTAATGGGGGGCCTATTCTTTTTCTTAGCCTTAAACTCCTGTAACGAACCATGGATCCCATGGTTCGTCACAAGCAGACGACGTAGCCAACGCTACTCCCAGGTGAAGCGATCAACACCCAGCAAAAATGCAAACTCAGCACACGCCAAAAGAAAGGAGACCAGCACAAGGGGCTTACGCAATAAGTACCTAAAATAATATTAAATAAATAAATATTCCTAACAATATATGTAAGATAATTTTATATTATCAGTGTTTTATTGAGTATTGTACACAAGTAGGATATATGAATGTATAATGTTTAAAGGTTTTGATTATATGTAATTAACAGAACTGCTGATTTTGACGACTTTAGAAACAACTTATTCAACTTTACTTTCTGACATCTGCCGACCAACTCCACTACTGACATACCAACGACGACGACTTTGAGATGGACCAATCCTTGGTGGTGGGCGATCAGAGTGAGGACTATCGACTCACGCCAATACTACCACTTTACATTCGGCCATCCTGCAAAACATCTGTCCCAGATGTCTCCTCCTCTTCACTCTGCTCTTCATTTTCTTCCTCGCAGTAAGCATAGCGCCACAGCTTCATAAAGTCAGCGCTTGTAGAGGTCTGTAGTACACCCTCAAATTCAGCTGCCTTCTTAACATCATATCTGCCGTTCCGTTTCACTCGAATGACTTCATACGGGCCGATATATTTGTTGGATAACTTCCTTCCAGTTATAAACTGCGTCACCTTAATGGCTACTAGGTCGCCTAGCTGATAACCATGATGCCCCTTTCTCTTCTTGTCGTGACTCTCCTTGTAAGCAGCTTGGGCTTTTTCGATTTGGCGCCTGGTTTCTTGCCAAATTTCCTTACGTTCTTCTTGCAGGTTCGACAGCATCTCCTCTTGAAGGATCCTCAGAAGCTCAGCACTGGAGTTGTTTCTCATACGTACACCAAACATGACTTCGAACGGCGTGTATCTAGTTGATGCATGTATGTGAGAGTTTATGGCCTGTTGCACCTGCGATGTGTATTTATACCATTTTGCTGGTTCCGCTGCTGACATTTTTGAGAGTACTGAAATGATAACCCTGTTAACCCGTTCAATCTGTCCGTTACCCCTTGGTACGCCAGCTGTTGTTTCGACGTGATCAATATTGTTCGTTGCGCAAAATTCCTTGAATGAATGCGATGTGAACGCCGCTCCCTTATCGCTGATAATTCTCTGCGGGCTGCCAAATATTGAAACCCATGATTCCAGGTGTTTGATAGCTTCTTCCGCATTTGTCGACTTTGTAGGAAATAGCCAAGTATATTTTGAAAAACCATCTACGACAGCAAATATATACTTGTAGTTCTTCGATGTATTGTCCAATGAACCCAAATGATCCACATGCAACGTTGAGAGGGGTGTGTCGCCTTTGTCGATAGCGTGCAAATAATCCTCTTGTTTCCCCAATTTCTGATTATGGGTGATACACTCGATACAATTGGAAATTACCTGCTTAGTTTTCTTCTCCAAGTGTGGTATATGAAAGTCCTGCTGAATTGCGTGAATTGTTTTCTGCGCTCCCATGTGGCCAAAATTGTGTGAGTTTGTTATTATCTCCTTTTCCATACATTTTGGTACTGCCAACAGATCTTGGCCCTTTACCTGCTTAAAGATAAGGTTATTTCTGAGAACATAATCTGCATAGGGTCTCTGCTTTCGAATTTCGCTAACTGCCATTAAGTGTTCATCACTCTGTTGTGCTCTTTTGATCCGTGCATTAACTTCGGAAGTCACGATCATCACCGGAAAACGACTCAGGCTGTCAACATGCTGCATTCTGCTTCCAGCACGATGCTCTGCTTTAAAGGTGAAATCTTGCAAGTACATCAGCCACGGCGTTACTTCTCGGGGAATATCTCTTTTGGAGATCGTTTGTTTAAAAGCCGCACAATCTGTTACCAAGTCGAACTCTATTCCTAACAGGTAATGGCGGAGTCTCTTTGTTGCTAGGTATGCTGCCTTTACCTCAAGTACATAGCTGGTAAGTTTTTCCTCTTGTGGTGTTGTTTTCTTACTCCAGTAGAAAACGGGGTGCCATTTACCATCGTGCTGCTGCAGCAATGTTCCACCAAAGCCATGTTTTGATGCATCCACATGCAACTGTGTTTTGGCGCTTTGACTCCAAATCTTCAATCTTCTATTAGTGCTGCTTTTAGTTGTTCTACTGCTTGTTTTTGTGCTCCTTCTATCTTAAAAACGGCATCTTTCTTCAGCAGTTCCGTTAATGGCTTGGCAATAAAAGCGTAGTCTTTTACGAATTTGCGAAAATAGCCAGTAAGTCCAAGAAACGCCTGAATACCTCTGATATTAATTGGCATCGGAAATTTTTTTACAGCTTTTACCTTTTCTTTCCCAGGCCATATCTTCCCATTTTCTATCTCGTAACCAAGGAAAGTGATACGCTCCTTCAAAAATTGACATTTTGACCATTTTATGTCGAGTCCATACTGCTGCGCCTGTTTCAATACGCGCTGGATGTTGCTTAGACACTTTTCGGCTGTTCGCCCAAAAACAACTATGTCGTCGATATACATTTCCATAATACCTTCATTTATCAGCTGTTGGAAAATATATGTGACAAACCTTACGAATACTGCAGGCGAATTACAATAGCCAAATGGAGCTCTATTAAATTCGAACAGTCCCTCTTTTGTCACGAAAGCTGTATATTTGCGGCTGGGCTCATCGATTTCGACATGAAAAAATCCATTCCTCAAGTCGAAGACAGAAAAATATTTCGCGCCTTGCATCTTATCGAGAACTTCGTCTATAAGCGGGACCGGAAATCGATCTTTCAGTACCATCGTATTTAAGACACGGTAGTCTATGCATAGCCTCAACGTTTTATCTTTCTTTTTGGTTAAAACAACTTTACTCGCCACGTCAGAGTAGGATTCTCGTATAATGCCCTGTTCCAACCATTCCTCTACTTGGTTGCGAATTATCTCTCTCTGCTGCTGCATATCGACTTGGTTGCTCTCTGAATGCCATATTCTTACAATTAGGGATAATTGTCATCTTTATAGGACAGGTTCGCTCAACTTTAGACGGCTTGTAATTATCAATTAACTGCTTGACTGCTGCTTGGTATTTTTGAGGAACGTCTAATTCCATGTCCTGACTTACCACATTGAAAACATTATGATCAGCCTCTGCCTCAACGATGCTATCTCCTTCTGTAAAAGCATACTTTCCATTTTCCAAAACAACAATAAATTTTTTGAGAAAGTCGTAGCCAATAATTATGTTAACATTGAGTTTTGTATCGGGAACGATGAGAAATTTATGTTCCGTACGAATTCCATCAACCAGAACTTGCACGTCTAACGCACCCAGCACAGATGTGACAATGTTTCCTAGGCCGTACAATTTAGCAAAACTTTTCTGCAGTGGATATTCAGCAAATTTCTCCTTGTATATTTTCATTCGCATAAGAGACACGTCAGCTCCTGTATCGACTAGACATGACATAGTTTTATTATTGATGAACAGCACCTTTTCCCTTGTCTCGCTGATTATATTGACGCTTGGTTTAAATGCCGTTGCATTTAAAGCACTTAGTATCTTCCTTGCATTCGGCTCTCATATGTTGCGTTGATCCACAGTTGAAACAATGCCTTTGATTCTGGTCAAATCGTTTTCCCAGAGTTCCTGCTTTACCGACGTCATACTTTTTCGCTGCTTGTTTGCGGTCCACTGCTGATTTTGTCATAATTTCGATTGTTTCGAATCGGCTTCGTAGTTCCTTGAATGTTGAAGCACTGTATAAGGGATATTTTAGATCGTCACGCAGCTTTACTCCCTCGGCTATATAACGGATCACCGACTCATCATCTACACATCCAAGAGCAGCTATCTTTCGCATATTTAAGACGTATTCGTGAAAATTCTTGTTTTCGTGTTTCTTTCGTTCGCTTAGCTGCTTATGTACCTCAGCGCTGGTCAGGGTCTTGTCAAATTCATCCAACAGCAATCCAATCAACGTATGATAATCCGACACAGTGGTGGTCTCCAGGAATAACTTTGCTGTTCCCTTAATTTTTATACGAGCGTTCACATATTTCTGCTTGTCAGTCAATTCGTAGGCGTCGGCATTTTCATCAAAACATTTTATCCACTGCTTAATTGGAATTGACACTCCATCAAACTCAGGAACAACCTTAGAAAAGCTCTCGATTGGGATATTATTTTTACTGGAATCGTTTTGTGTAATTTTTGTTGCCAGCAGTTTGAGCACCTCACTCAATTCGTTGTTGTTGCTCATCTCCGCGCTGATATTTGAGTATTTTGCGTCGTGGTGGATCGTGACTTCTGTTGTTGCGCCACGAAGCCCAACATGTTGTTCGCTCTCTGTTTTTTTCTTCTGGTTCTTCTATTTCGTCAAATGGGACAAAAAAAGTTTTGTTTATGTCCATTTTGACAGCTTCTCCTGTTTTCGCCTCTGGTGTCTTCTCTTCGTCCGTTTTTACCCTTCCTTCATCAGCCTTTATTTTTTCTTTATTCTGCTGTCCTCTTTGTTGCTTCTCATTTGGTCCGCTTTGCTTTTTGTTCTTTTTAGCTGAACGCATCATCATTATCGTTGTGTGCGTAATCACATGTATACTTTCGTAGGTTGAGCCCCCATGTAAGATAATTTTATATTATCAGTGTTTTATTGAGTATTGTACACAAGTAGGATATATGAATGTATAATGTTTAAAGGTTTTGATTATATGTAATTAACAGAACTGCTGATTTTGACGACTTTAGAAACAACTTATTCAACTTTACTTTCTGACATCTGCCGACCAACTCCACTACTGACATACCAACGACGACGACTTTGAGATGGACCAATCCTTGGTGGTGGGCGATCAGAATGAGGACTATCGACTCACGCCAATACTACCACTTTACATATATATTCCCGAAGTGCCAACGAAATTCCTTTCCCACGGTACCGGTGCACACCGATCACCTTACCTGGGACATTGGACACTTGTTGGGAAGCGATTGCTTAGGTAACCCTCGATTACCGGGCAAAACCCCCACATGCGCAAGCCAGTCAGCAGTCTCCGACTCTCCTTACCGGGGATATTGGACACTGACTGCAGGGCTAATGATTAGGTAACCTTCTGTTACCGATCAGCCCGTCTGCCCGCGCAGACTATAATTCGGCAATATATATTTATGTAAGAACCCTTCCCACATTCTGGAGTAGAAATAAGATATCTGTAAGACATTCATGGGAATATCGAAGGCCGGCCGATCTATAAAAGGCACGGCCTTGCATGAAGAAAAGGGCAGTCCACCAGCCATCGTCGGAGGCAGTCCACCAGCCATCGTAGAGAGTCAGTCAAATCACCATCCGCGTCGTAGTACAAGTAAACATAACATAACCGGGTAGAATAATCATACGGAAGAATAAAGAAAACCATTCAAATTAAAAGAACCAAAAGTGTTGTGATTTCTATTTCAGTTTTCTGGCAAAGTTCCTGGTTTTCCCGATAAAGTCCTCGTGAGTTATAAATATCTTGTAATTCAGGACCCTGGACAGGCTGATGCATACCTCAGCCTGAAATAGGACATTACAAGTGGCGCCCGAGCAGGGACTTTAAAGGATTTTTCGTGGAAACTTCAAGAAAACCGAAATCAGGGACTTCGTGGATTAAAGACCCACTGCCATCAAAAAGAAAATTGAATCAATAACAAGTCCGCGCACTTACATAATCCGGGCGCGAAAACAAACGCGAAAGTATACGCAGTGCCGATCCTAAAAGTGCCGTTTAACAGTGACTTTTTGCCAAAAATCAACAGAAATCAACATGGAACATCACGACGATGAACAACCAGAGGAGGCATACCTGCGGGACACTTTTCCAACCCAGGGGTCAGCACCGGCTGGATCCACAAACTCCGTCGGGACGAACTAGAAGTCCTCGCCGAAGAATTCGGATTCGGCAGCGAAGAAACGGTCGATGAACGCCGAAGAAAATTTGCCGCTCTAGTCGCCGGGCCACTCGCGCAAGGAGCCTGGGTCCGCATAGGAGAGTTCGAGAGGCACTATGCCAAGCCAGCCTCACGCTCTCGTTCCAAGTCACCACTGCCCACTACTCCTGGACCATCCGACACTCGCCAAATGGATCCTAAGACCGGACTACGAGTCCCCGCAGCCACCGAATACCGCACTCCTGCCGCCCCGTTTCCAAGGCCCCTAGCTACAGAGACCCACCCAGCACCCGTACCGAGGGTCTTGCCAGCGATCGACCGACCCATGGAAGGGCACCACTACAACCACGCTGCACCAATGGCGGAACGCATCCGAAAGTGGGGAATCCAGTTTGACGGCCAAGATGACCCTCTATCATTCATCGAACTGCTCGAAGAACGCGCGCTCTCGTATGGGGTGGCCGAACTTCTCACAGACCGTGCCAGTCGTTGGTTCCGCACCAGCCGCCTACAAAGTTCCTCATAGGAAAATTTTGCCGCTTCCAGTCGACCACCTACTCGCAAGATTCCCTCCTGATCCATAAACGGGGTAAGTGAGTTAATCGAACTTCCCTTTTGCGTTTCCTTATGTCTTGTTAGGTGACGTATGTCCTCTTTGAAGTCATTCTGTTGTATGTTACGAATGACAATTTTTTGTGCTTCTTTCATCTCACTGAATTGGATAGTTTTGCTTGTGTACGTTTTCCTTCCTCGGAAACGCATCATGTAAGCAATTATTCGAATTAGTTTGTTGTATGAATTGTTATGCTTTATTTTGTATATATATCCTCCTGAGTGATGATCATAATTGATGACTCGCTAATTTTGTTGGGATTTGCACTGATATTTTCCTCTTTTGTAGCCACAAATGCTGGTGGCCATGTAGATGGTGGGCCATGAAGAAATAGTGGGCCATAAAACCACATACTATTTTTCGCGAATTTAATCGACGTCATTCCTCTAGACAATGCATCTGCTGCATTATTTTCAGATGAAACATGTCAGTTGGGCACCTAATACAGCCGCCTTTAGTTCCAGACGAGGTAATGTTAACGCATTTATAGGAGCTAAATGTGATTTGGCACATAGCAATTGAATTGTTACTCGTTTATCCTTATGCAGTGCTCGGATATATACGGCAGCTCCAAAAGCTTTCTCCGATGCGTCAACAAAAGTGTGTATTTCTGATGCTATCGGAATTTTTCCTTGGAATATATGACGTGGTACTTTTATGGTGTTTAATATTTTTAGCTCCTCCCTGTACCTTTTCCATTCCTCCTGAAGATGAACTGGAAGCGCTTCTTTGTAGTCAAATCCTTCCTTTGTGAGATGTTGCATGAAGATCTTTGCCTTCATTACCACCGGTGAGAAGAGTCCAAGTGGGTCGAAAATCCTAAAGATCTCCGATACGACATCTCTTCTAGATATTACATCCTTGGTGGCAATTTCTGTTCTTCCACAAAACTGGTCAGTTTTAGGCATCCAAGTGATTCCCAGGGTTTTAATGCTGGACTCTTCATAAGCAGTGTCGTCCAACTGTACGCTTGAAGTGATGTCTTCCGTTGGAATTCCGTGAAGTACATGAACGTTATTCGTGCACCATTTTCTTAAGTTAAACCCTGATTTATGCAGTAGTTTATTAAGTTCTTGCTGTCTCTGGAGGGCCTCTGGTATGGAATCTGCTCCTGTTAAGCAATCATCCACATAAAAGTCATTTTCCAGAGCAGCAGCTCCAAACGGGTATTCCTTTCTTTCTCTTCGGGCGAGATATTGTAGACATTTTGTGGCTAAATATGGAGCCGCTTTTGTTCCATAAGTCACTGTTTTTAGTCTATAGTATCGTAGATCTTCTGATGGATCATTGCGCCATACTATTGTCTGATAGTACTGGTCCTCGGGATTAATCCAGATCTGACGATACATTTTTTCAATGTCCGCAGTAAATACATATCTGTGCATCCTGAACCTAAGCAATATTGAAAATATTGAATTTTGCACAGTTGGACCTTTATGCATCAGGTCGTTGAGCGATTTTCCGGACGAGGTAACTGCGGACGCATCAAAAACCACTCTCAATTTGGTTGTAGAGCTGTCAGGTTTTATGACACAATGGAGTGGGATGAAATAACGTGATCTTGCTATTTCTTTTGTCTGCATTTCCTTCATATGACCAAGAGCCTCATATTCTTTCATAAATGTAACGTAGCTTGCCTTGGTCTCCGGATATCGAGCTAGCCGCTTTTCTAGGCAAAAAAGTCGTCGTGTCGCTAGATCACGACTCTGCCCCAGAGATGAAGGGTCTTCCAAAAAAGGCAATCGGACGATGAGTTTATTATCTGATGCCATCTGAACATTTTGTACAAAATGCTGCTCACATCGTTTTTCCAGTGGAGAAAGATATGTTGCGTTATTTGGAAACGAGTCCAGTTCCCAAAATTTTGCGATCTGTTGATCGACCTTTTCTTCTTCCGTCAATACTGCACATGTGCTCGGATGTTTTGAAGCGTCTTTTAGCTTTCCAGCCACAATCCATCCTAATTTGGTTTTTTGTAATTTAGGCAATCCTTTTCCAATCGATACATGCTTGTCTTGCATGATATCGAAGTAGTGTTCTGCTCCTAACAGAATGTCTATTTTTCCAACTTTGTCGAAATCGGGATCAGCTAATGTTCTGCTTTTTGGAAGCTTCCAACGAGACGTATCAATTGACTGTGCTGGTTGATCTGAGACTATGTGTGGCAGTACAACTGCTTCTAGTCTTGAACTGAATTTGTTATGTCTTGATTTGAGCATAACATTGACTCTTGCTTTTGATGTTTGTGTTCGTCCGCCAATTCCATTTATTTGTAGATCTGATTTTTCCACTTTCAGATCTAATATTTTCAATGCTCTTTCCGAGATTACATTGACTTGTGAGCCTGAGTCAAGCAGTGCTCTGAACTCAGCAATTTGTCCATTGTTGCCTTGGATATGAACTCGAGCGGTAGCCAATAATACATAATTATTTTGTATACTATTTGCTGATGCTGCAGTTTTGGCTTCGGACTTAATTTCCAAATGGAGAAGAGTGTTGTGCCCTTTATTGCATTTAAAACAGTCTCTTCTTTGGCAATTTTTTGCTGTGTGATCGCGTTTGAAACATTTGACGCACAGTTGGTTCTTTTGAACCCAATTTAATCTATCTGCAGAAGTTTTCTTTAAAAACTGTGTGCATTTATAGATAGCGTGATTTGGCTTTTCACAAAAATAGCAGTAGTACTGACTTTCAGCTCCTGCTGAGGCACATGTGATGGGTTTCTTTGGTTTCTCCCATCCAATGGCTTCCAATGTAAGG